AAGGGCCAGAACATAAACTACTTAGGGAAACTCAGTATCCATGTAAAAAGGCTAGAAGGGTCAAATCCGACAAATTGAAGAGGGTGGAGATGCAAGCCCAGGCTGGCTGTCCCCTACTGAGGGCCACCTAGGTAGGCACAGGAGATCTGTGCTTATGTTTCTACTGTGGAATTTGACTTGAAATTTCTCCTGTGCCTGAGTCTGAAAGCGTCACTGTTTTTTTTTTTTTTTCTGGCTAAACTGTGTGTATGTGTGTGGCACCAATTGGACGGGGAGGGATCAGTGGTCTGGTGGTTTGAGAGTGTCCCAATGTAACAGCTCTGGTGCATAACCTCTCGGGTGTTCACTGAGTTGATAGTAGAAGTTAGTTGTGCTTCCTACTTCCCTCTGGAGCTTCAAGCTTCATCCTTTTCTCCTTGCAAAGAACCATGGTTGCCTGGACTAATTTGTCTGACTTCACCCATGCTCTTCCAGATTTGCTCAGAGGCTGTTCTGAACTTGTCCTGGAGAAACACATCTACTGAGAAAAGCTGGTCTCCTGCTTCCTTTGAAAGACTGGACCTACTCAAGTTGTGTGCTGCTGATTTGTAAGACAGTGCACCCCACACTGTAACAGTGGGGAGCATGAGACTTGCCCTGAGCAGTCCTGATTGTGCAGTTGCTGGTGCAGAGTTGGAGCTGCTGCATTGTGTTTCGTGGAGCTGCTGTTGCATTCCCAGTGCTCTCAACACGGGCTGTTGGCGTGGCCTTGCTGCGGTTCCAGTTTGCTCCCCCTACCCTGGGATAATCAAGTTTGTTCTCTTTGTGCACGTCCATTTCTGAAAAGTGTACTAAAAGCAGTGGGCTTTATTAGATGGAGAAAGAAAAGCTGCCAGAACAGTTTTATCACAGAAATCAAATATACTCATTTATTTCCCTGTGTGTATGTAACATTTGGTCCTTTTTCATCCTCTGACCTTGGGTCCTTTACAGGAGAAACATTACACTAAAAATGGATGAAAGAAAAGTGAGACTCAGAGGAGGGAAATGCATTGTTTAGAGTCCCGAGCAGGTTGAAGCACGAGCTGCAAATGCAATTCTTATGTCCTGAAGCCTGACTGTGTGCTACGCCCCATTGCATTGCAAGGTTGAGGTTTCTTGTAATGGCAAAACACGGTCTCAAAAAAAAAAACTGGCTGCAAAGCTTTTATTTGTTTAAACAAAGGCTTTGTGATTCCAGAATTCTCTCCCCTTTCATATGCTATAAACCACCTTCTCTGCCTCCCCTCTGAAATATGAATTTTGGAGTAATCCATCAAGAAAAAGAAAGACAGAGCCTTGATCCCTTGACTTCAGTTGAGCTGTGCAATTTATATCTACTGAGCATCTGGCTGAAAAACTTTTAATATTCTGCAGAGACTCTGGGTATACAAATGAGCGTAGGCTGACAGAGCTGAGAAATGGGGCAGAGATGCCAAGAGGTTTCTTTGCCATTTGCACAAAACTCTGACCTGTGGCCCCGTGGTGAAAGTTGGCCTGGTTTTTTCACTCCATTCAGTGCCACTGTGATAATTGTGCTGAAATCATCAGAAGCCCATTGGTATGAAGCTGTTATCACGCCTTTCTCGTTTCGAGTGAGGAGTTTGAAGGCTTGTGGGGCTTTCAGCCTTGAGCAGTTGAATTGTGCAACTATTTAATCAGGAAATTATGCAAACGCTGCTCAAGCCCTGTGAAGCAGGAATACACAATTAAGTCAGCCATTCACTGCTGTCAGCCGCTTGTCGTAGGAACGTATCCGGAGTGGAAGCTGCAGGCTTACAGCCCAGTGCCCCTTTGCAAAGCTGCAGCGCTGGAGGCACTTGCTCAGCCTTTAATTGAGGATCGGTCAAATCCGATCAACCTTTGGATCAGGGTTAAGTGGGTCACTGCTGGCACAGGGAACATGACTTGTTATTTTCCAGCATGCTGAGTCTGCCGTACCTTTGCTATGTCAGACTGCCCTGCTTTACCCACGCAGCCGGAGAGGGGGAGCGGGCAGGCGGGAAGGGAGAGGTGTGCTAGGACAGCAACAGCGAGACATTATGGAGACAGACTGGGTGTCACGCGATACGCTGGTACAGTCTCGTGTTCATTATCTCAATTATTTATCTTCCCTTCTGGAATATTTCTAAAACAAATCCTTCCATGTGTTTTGAGGTTGGGCTTCGTGGAGTGAAATCACAACTGCTTTCTCAGAGTTTAGCTGGAAAAATACAAATCTTCCAACTAGGAATATGAGGGAACTAAACTGTGGTTCTGTGTAGCAACAAGTGATGGATTTCTACAGATATGGAAAACGTCTGCTCTGGAGTTCCAGGTCAGAGAGTATGTGTATTTGCCCCAATGTTACATTTGTTGCATGTGAAATAATGACGTGAGATTCTAAAGCGCGTTTCAATAAAGCGGAATGCTTTCACCCTGACCAGAAAATTCAACTTCACAGACCCAGGCCTTGGAACCACCAGCTATCAGGATTAGACACTAAATACTTCAGTGCATAGTAGTCAGGGAAGATATTTATTGACTTGATTTGTCACCACCATTCTCAGGCTTTCTGCGAGGACAGATAATGACCCTGGACTTTGAAGCAGCCTGGTCCCCAGTGCATTGTGAGAAATGGTTTCTGTAGCAGCAGTACCAAGCATTCATCTCTGTGATTGAAAGCATCGTCCATCTCTCGGTTAGCTAGATAAATGTCACACGGATTTGTTGACAGGACAGCCTGCCTTATAAAGAAGATCTTTTGCATTGGGACATCCACTCTCTGGATTAGTTAAATGTCTTTTGGGTCCAGATTACTTGGGTGTGCATCTGGGTTTCCAGGTTTCAGCAGGCATCGCTGACATGAAGACGATATTAGTACAAACCTCACCATGCAGTGGCACTGTGACTTCCTCCCCCCCATTCTGTCATTTTGTTCATTTAAATCTAACCTTGTGTGCTCCAAACACACCTGAGAGGGCTCTTTGAGGCGCTCCTCAAGAGCAGAGAGGGCTCCTGGACTGGTGCTGTTCGTACACTCTGTCCAGGAGAGACGATCAGAGTGTCCCCCCTGGGAGGTGGTTGATTCACCCCTGTGCAGAGGGGTAGTACAAGCCCTTCTTTATGAGCTGAGCTCTCCAAAGAGAGCTTAAATGCTCAATCCATCTCAAATTATGCACAGAGGTGGTTTTCAGACAGTTCAAGTCAGTCTCGCTGAAACCTATGGGAGTTATTAATACGTGCATGCCAGCAGAAGGGAGAATAGGACTCCATATTTTATTTGCTCTGTAACACATCTGGTACGCCTTTTGGCTCTTGGGACCACTGGATTTATTCCGTCTTATCTTTCTGTGGGATGAGCAAGATCAAAAGCATGAAGCCGGTTACATGCAGAACGTAATTCCCTGGTTTACGCACCGCAGGCAGATCCAGACCAAACAAACCTCACCCTTTTCCTTCCCGGGGGGATAATGCACTCGTGGTACTTGTGTATTCACAGGCCAATTAAAGCCAAAAATTATTGATGCCCAAGATATATTGCAGAGAGCAAAAATAAACAAATGTTAGCTCCTGTTGGGTAAAAGAAGGTCTATGTCAGTATTGACTTGTGAGGAAATCCATCGATCTAAGTGTTGCTGAACCATCAGGTGCTTTGTCTGCAAAACTTTGGGTATGGTGAGGTGGAAGCTCTTGTCTAGCTCCTTTGGGAAGCTACGCAGATCCTCCGAGAGGGTCAACAAGAGAATTTCTTTGGAAGGTTTTTGCAATGGGTGATTGGTTGCTGTTAGCACTCAAGCAATCTTCTTAGACTGTAAATCACCGCCATGGAACAGCCAAGCTCCCTGGCCCTCCAAGCCCTGTGCTAAAATCTTTGTGTGGCTGAGAGCCATCGGTACATACCGTGGGCTTCATAAAACTGGAAAGTGTCTGTGGGTGAAGACTGGAGAGACTCCATGGGGCTCCTTGTGTAAAAGGGGACAACGCTTGTTAGGGAGGACAACCAAGTCCCAGGTGTTGGGGTGATGTTTAGTCAAGCCAAAACCCATGTTCACCCATTCCTCCCCATAGGTAGGCACCGGGTTTACTCAACATCCCCTGCGTCAGTACAGCCTCAGCCTGAGTTGCACCTGAACAATTGCTAAGGGGCTCAAGAATTACAGGCCAGCTGCCCCAGCCCTATGGCAATAGCAGGATTAAATACTCCTTCCATGGCCAATCAAGGAAAGCTGGCTCTGGCCCTTCAGGAGCCTAGAAATGCCCAGAGATGGATTTATCCTCTGTGGGACATGAGATGGCAGAGGTTCAGTTCCTGAATATGGATGGTTTATTCTCTGAAATACTTCATGCTGCAAGTCATTTTCCCTTTTTAAAAACCGTCGTGCTTCAGAAGTCATGATGGGTCCATGGTCCGGTGTGGAAAGCTTGTCCGAGAGCTGGGAATGGGCAGTTCAACACTGCTGCAAAGCACTGGGAAAGTGTGTTGTTGATTAAATCTCTGTTTGGGTCTTTATCCTCCTTCACTCACTTTAAAATTGCTGAAATGAAGACAGAAGCAAAGCAGCAGCCCTTCTGTTGAGATAAGTGATGTCCTTTGTACCACACAATCACTTTAAGCTGCACTCAGAGGCCATGATGTTACCGTTTGTTCTTGCTGAGGCATCCTGTCGGGACCCCTTTGGTGGCTGCTGCCTATCTGTTGCTTCTGTATAGCACAGCGAGATGGAAACTGCTTTGTGCTGCAGCTCCAGTCTGCGTCAGCCCTGGGCTCTGTCTTGGATTTCCTTGCTGTCACTGAGACAGATGATTTGGTGTGGGAGTGGTGGGGCCTGGGAGCACAGGGATGGCACAGGACTCCACAGAGACGGGCATTTCCTATAGTCATTGCAATTTCCACTCTGTGTGCCTTGGATCAAAAAGGGATCAGGGTCTGCAGACTGAAAGCCATGGATTAAAATGCAAGTACATAGAAATTTTACATCGTTTTGTTTGGTTCTTTCTAGAATGCATGAACTGCACAAGACTAGCGGATATGACCGAGAGGCTAAACACGCTTGAGGCCAAGGTAAGAACCTGCCTTCCTTCATTCTTCTGCTTGGTAAAAATATCTAAAAGTTGCCAGTAAGAAAGATGTGGAGTTGGCAGCCCTTGAGAGATCAGGCGTCCATCCTTCTGTCCACAGCGAGGAGCACTCTGTGGCGGTGGTCCTGCTCCAGGGAACGGGGGCAGCACTGCTGTGTGCTCGGGCATCGCTCACCTCCAGCCTGGCTGCTTCCACTTCCCATCCAACTTTTCCCTCTGGCTGCTCAGCTCAGCTCTTCCTAAATAACGCTCAGACCTGAGAAATACCGTGTCACATGTTGCCATCACACTTATCACTGCATTTGCCTGTTACCAGCCTGCCCTCACACCGCCTCTGCCCTGTCTCCAGCTGGCCGGCTCTCATGCTGGGCTCGCTGGCTGCCGTGGGCTGGTGTGTTCGGCTGCTGTCACAAGTGTGCAGCTGCTGATAAATAATAAATAGCTCATTGCTCTCAACTGGAACGCGTTGGCTGAGGTTTTCCTTCAGAAACAGAGGGCAGATGGAGCTGTATGAAAAATCTCTTGCCTTCAGCTAGTTGATAACATGAGGATGCAAAGCAGTGATTCCCTTGGCTCAGGAAAGAAGCAGACTCTGATTCTGGTCTCTCTCGCTAAAAATGCCTTGTTAGAAACCTTACGAACATAGAGAGCAAAGCAGACAAGTAACGGTATGTAGATTTTTCTAAGAACAGTTGATCATTAGCCTGCTCTTCAAGTGCTATCCAGCCCTGCTTTTTTATCCCTTTTCTGAAAGATGGGAGGCTTTCATGTATAGTTTAGTGGAGATAAATGTTAAGGGGAGAACTTCACGTTGTGGGGTTTTTTTCTACAAATTGTTTTAATTTCTTCTTACTGGGATTCACATAAATTGTTCCAGTCTAGCAACAAAGCAGTTGAGTCAGTCCTTCCCCTTTGATCCGCGGTCCCTCCTGCGACAGCCCAATCCTGGCTGTTAGATGTAGTGCTTCGGTCCATTTAAGGCACTGGCTGCTGTTATTATTCATTAACTGATGGTTATCAATGACATAAAAGAATTTGGGGAGAAACCTTAGTGGGGAGGAGGGGTGGTGGATGTGTGGTGTTTTTGAGGCCAGTGCATGATACTATGGTAATTTGGGAATTGTCTGTGCTGAAGTGGAGTGAGCAATGTTGTCTGGAACTCCCTCAAAGCCTTCGCAGTTGTATTTCACTACAGGAAAGTGAAGGGGTGGGGGGAGTGAAATTCTGGGGAGAAGAATTGCTCGAGTGAAAACAACTGTTGTGGTGCAAAGGACAAAAATGAGCTGGGTTGTTTTTCTGAGCAGTGGGACCTGGCAGGTGGGTGTTCTTTGGCAGCGAGGAGCTGGAGGCATCTGGAGAGGAGAGTGGGGCTGGTGACTGACCTCTGTGTGTGCAGTCGCGAATCCAAGTAAGACAGGGGACCAGCCTCAGAGAGACGTAAATCAGCCCTCCAATGCTCAGCCTGTAGCCAGCTGTACCTTCCTTCGTTTTCCAGGCCTTTCTATAATTTGTCTCTCTGGAAAATGATAACCAAAGGCTGTCCTGACATCAGAGCACCAGGGCTCTGCTGGCGTGTGCTGCTCAGCACTTGTCTCGGGTATCAAAGCGTAACGGCAACCTCAGCTGGGGCCCTGGCAGGACTTCATGGGAGAGGAAGGAGGTCCTACCTGCCCAAATCCCTTTGAAAAGTCTTAGCTGAAGAGTGCAACTGCACCCAGGTCAGTGGGTTTGTCTTATAGTTACGAAGCTGGTTTGAACTGGGTGACGTTCCCAACAAGCCAAGTAATCTGCTCTCTGGTGTTGGCAACAACTGCCAGCAGCTCGTGGTGTTTGGGAGGTGCTGCCTGCTTGCCTTCTGCGTGGGAGCTCTAGGGAAGGCAGGAGCACGTTGTCTCCTGTTCTAACGTAGGATGCTTATTGTGCAGCAACTGGCATTTGTCTCCTGAGTGGCAACCCTGACATGCTGGCCTCAGGAAACGCTTCCTATGTCGACAACCATCTGCCTGCAGCCTGCTCTGCGTTCAGGAGGGAGCACTGAGTCATCACCAGCACACAGCATTGATGGCTGAAGACCCTGTAGTCTTGCAGACCTTCTGACACCAGGAACAGTGAGGCAGGTGCCTGCAAAGGTTAGTGCCAAGATGTAGCCAGCCAGACCCGGAGATGACATGTTGAAGGATTTTGTACTGCCTCAGTCCCAGCCACAGCCGAGACCACACCACCTCCTCTCTGCCTGCTTCAGGGTGGGGCTTTGGGTGACTTGATTAGTGTCAGCTCTTGCTCTCGGGCATAGCGCATCACGTCTGTGCTTCAGTGCTGTAGTGAGGCAATTTGTGTTGCTGTGATGGGTTTCCTTCCGACTTTGCTATGCTCCCACAGAGACCCAAGTTGGGAGCAAAGCTCATCAAAGGGTTTACTTTTATGGAGGGAAATTACTTATTTCTTTCTGTTGTGAAGTGCCGAAGGCTGTCTGTCTGCAAGGGTGCCTTCTGCAGCACGGCCCAGCAATGTCACTGTCAACTTCTGGCTTCCACTTTGTTTGAAAAGCTGTGGGTGCTGTGCAAAAATTGACTGTAGCAATTAAGCGGAGAGTGAAGCCTATTACATGAATGCTGGTACTGTTCACAAAAGAAATATGCTGATTCACCCTTTTTCAAGGTGAAGTTCAGTTTAGTTTGATCTACGTAGCAATGCAACAACCTCAGTTGTTGCTATTCAATGCCAGCTAGCACCGTTACGAAGGTGAACTTGTTTAGCATTGTCTGTATTCCTGCTCTGGATTTTGCAGAAAGATCCCTGTTTTGCTGAATGATCTGGATGTGAAGTTGTCTCTCAGCTCTCCAGACTGTCTTCTTGTAATGTCTCATTTCACCACAACAACAGCTGGAAGCTGTTCGGAGAAGACAGGGGTGGTGGGATGGGCACACTCATCCCTTGGCAGTGTTGGAGACTGATCCTCCCTTGGTTTTTGCTGTCTTGTTCTGCAAAGGCAGATGGGCAAGTTCATCCTTCCTATGAGTAGAGCATAGCTGTCCCCCTAAAAAGTGGGGATATAACCAGGAATGGTCTCACCTTTCTTCTTTACAAGGATGAGTTGGTTCATCCAACTTGTAAGATCAGCATCCAAATGAGGTAATAAAAGTAACCCTCTGATTTTTGTAATACAAGAGTTGGATCAGAAAGCGAGAAGCAAGAATAAACACAGAGCAAAATGGAATGAAAAATGACTCATTAGGGACTGGTGCTTATATAGCCCTTGGGGAGGAGAGAGACTTAGAGACATGGCTGAACTGCGCAGCAGAACAAACTCTTCACGTGTCTGCTTTCCTTAATGCTGCTCTAGGTTGTCCTTGTGGCTGTAGATGTTTCTGCAGGAAAGGAGGTGAAGGAAGATGGAATCGAGTTCCATCCTGGTCTCCCCTTGTTCAAGTCACATCATCATCTCCCCAGGATGGAGCTGGCCTGTTCCATTTGCTTGATATCGTTTGGGTGCCAGAGATTTGAAAGTTTGATTGATGGTGTTGAGCTTAAAATCTATAGGGCATGGGACTCACGTCAGGGAGGATGGTGTTGAGCCTGGGGTCAAGGACAAGAAAGTGTGCAGGCCAGAAGAAGACTACCCCCTCCCCAAGCCCCAATGTGCCAAACCTTCCTGCTTTCCCGTGACGTCTGGCTTGACATCACTGCAGCACCCCCTGACCCTGCAGGGAGCCTCACTGGTGGGAGCACAGAATGAGAGCTGTTATTCAAAAGGAAAAGTTTCTCCTTCTGCCACCACAGCTTCTTAGTGGGAACAGCGTACAGCCCTTTGTTTCTGAATTTCCTGAGCCTGATGCTGCCCTCCTGTGACACAGGACTAAGCCCAAACTCCACCAAAGCTCAGGAGAGCTGCAGCGTCAGGAGGGAGCAGCCCGCTGTCTGTGGCAGGCAGTGCTAGCAGGAGAGCAGGCAGCTGCGTAAAAATTTCTGCTCATTTTGTTCACCATAAGCCCCAGTTTCTTTTAATAAACTCCACCACGGAGCTACGGGCAGTGTGATATTAATCCCAGCTTTTGGTTGGAGCTGGAGCGCAGCATTTGATCTGAGTTGATATAACACAGTCTTATCTCCTGACACCACGTTTGAGAAGTTCATGGCATTTCACTTACAGCTTTAACGCGGGGAGATAACATTACATATCCAGTGTCTGATTGATTCATGGTGTGATTGATAAACGACATGCATATTTTTTGCATGAAAACAGTCCTTGTAATGTGATTCCCCATGCAAAAGATTCTGAAGGGTTTTAAAGAAAATCTTCGTATTGTGCACACAGTTTGATCAATACATTGCTATTTATATGAAATCACCCCATTGATTTGGAACAGATTACCCCACGGCACCTCCACTACCCTGCGTCTTTTGAGTATGAAGCACCATTACTTGGAGTTTTAATGGAATCGTACGAAATGTTTTCTGTATCTCCCCCTTCTCCTAAGCAGCTACATGAAATCCTGGCAGCTGTCTGTGATGTTTTATGGGGTATGTCTTTTCTTTCTCTGATAGGCAATAAAACAATTTCCTGCTGTAGTGGAGAAATATTTGGAAAATAGAAAGAAGTTTCATGGCACTATGACATGGCTGAGAGATTGGGAGGGAAACCCCAGTTGCTTGCTGGTCCTGTAGAGTGGACATTAGCAGGTGCTGGATATTTCAAGGATTTTCATGGATTTTCCATGTTGTGTATGTGATTGCCACTAGCAGTTAGTTATTTGCTTTCTTTTCTGAACAGGAAGGTGGCTCACCTAATCTCTAAGGTTTCCTAATGACCTTGTGCAGAATCTGCTTCCCCAGCTCCAGCAATGGATTGAATTTAAGGAGTATTTCGGCTGTTTCACAGGTAGCTGTATAATAACTGGCTGGTTTCTAGTAGCAATAGCAAACTTAAATCAATCCCTGTAAATTTTTAATTTAATGCTAAGTTTCTGTAGGTCAGTTAATGTA